GCATAATTCTTTTTGAAGAATCTTACAGTCATCAGCACTGCGTATTTCTTGAAAGATTTTGAAGTCATCAGCAAATAAAAGCTTTTCACAAACAATGTCATCAGCTATATCATTAATAAAGATTGTGAAAATATTAATTTGATTGGGTTTTAAGTTTGTCGTACTATGTTTTGTGTTATTGTAATTTAAAACAATATCATGAATAATATCCAACCATTTATATGTACCGTTTAAACTAAAATATTTATACAGTTTTTCTTTTAATGTTCTTATAACACGTTCAACTATAGCTGCTTTTTTACAACTAAATGTATTGTAATGGTTAATTTTATATTTTTTCATTAGCTGGTTGAATGTAGAATTAAAAAACTCTGTTCCTTGATCGCTCTGTAGATTTTGAGGACATCTTTGACTCTCTTTTAATATAGATTCAAAAGCAGCCGATACTTCTACACCTGTTTTGGATTTTAGCGGTTTGATCCAGACGAATTTTGAAAAACAATCAATAATAACCAAAATATAGTTATATTTTTTGTTGGTTTTTGCAAAAAGATTCATTTGAGCAATATCGATCTGCCAAATGTCATCCAACCCCCGTTTAAAATTTCGTCTTATTGGTCTATGAAGTTCATTAATAAGCTGAATTTTTTCTTTTGTATGTTGCACAGACATTTTTTTATGGTAGTAGCGACCTAAAAAGTACTAACATTAGCGGGTACCATAAACATCTTTAATATATATTTTTCCAATAAATCGATTTTTTGTGTGTTTTTATCAATATCTTGATATATATTTGTCACATGAGCATCATGCATTTTTTGAATATTTCCTCTCAAGTCATCAATAATATCCTCAACATATTTTTGTTTAACGCATCAGAACCCAAAGTCGGTGATTTAACATTACATATTTTTAAGTTTCCTGCATCAATATCACCGTCAATTGTATGCTTTAAACTAGAATTTTTTGTTGTGATCAACGTTTGATATTTTCGTTGTTTGTTATCTGCTGCTTGACTAAACTTATTGAGCGTCATTGTTAAACTAAAATCTTTTTAACTATCCCTAGGGTTAATAAATATCTTTTTCTTCCTTTAGTTCGTTTAATATAGCTGTAATTTCATTTTCATGTGATGTATTACCCGCATTCTTGGAGGCTACCATTAATTTCAATCTTTCAACTAATTCATTAATGTCGTCCCAATAAATATTGTAACCTATGTTTGTAAAAAAAAAAATACAATAAAATAGGACACTTACCTCGGCAGCTCTTATTTGTCGACGCTAGGTCGGGGTTTAAGTTTTAGGATCGAAAATCTGAAGTCAAGGGCGCCAGTTGCGACAAACTCAACAGTAAGTCAGGGTGAGGGAGTTTTTTTTCTTTCACAACAACAAATTAACCAATACTTTAATTAATTGACACTTTATTCTAATAAAATAATATTTATCCCACCGTGTGAGCGTAGCTCCAAATAAAATTGTTATCCCACTCAGTGGGACCCACTGTGCAACCAGCTGTTGGCAACATAACCTTAACTGTCAAACTTAAGCACACTCGCAAACATGAATCAATTACAAAAATCAATAATACAATCAGACGTCTGTTACAAGGGTCGTAATTACTACCTAATTTAATTTGCGAGGTATTGCCGTTATAAAATGTTACAAGTGTCTATACCATACAATGATACAAGGTAATATTAAGGTTATATTTAGCTTACTTGGTGAATTTGAGATGTAATTAACCAAATCCAAGGAATTAGGGCCCAGGCACAATACTAATGGGTAAGTTCTATTAGCTCTTCCATGCAGGTTTCAATTTAAAGTGTTTTCTAGGCCTTGTCCATTCCACCAGGAACAATGTACACCGATTGTTATTGGAAATTACCAGCAAATCCAGAAATCTTCCAATGGGTATTTTAAACACTGTGTTGAATTAGGTACAAATATTTAATTGCCAAAGCTGCAAGCATGTACGATGCCCAACTATCAAAACCAAATTCAATTATCCAATAAAAAAAGGCCTATTTAAGGAAATAAAGGAATTTGTAAGAAAATATGTTAGTATTATTTTGAAATAGAACTCACCTACAAGATTTGAACCTTTTTTAACAAAATTAATCAATCGATGATCTAAATAAAATTAACTTTTAGCATTTAATTCACAAGATGTGTGCCAAGTCAAAATCTAATTAATAATGGCTGTCCAAAAAGTCACTAGGCCACAGCAAAAAACAATTTAAATTTGTCATTTTTCATCTCAGTGCAGTGGCAACACTGTGACATTAATTTAGCAATATTTATTGTTTAAACATTTGTTTAATACCAACTTTATAATTAAACCCCAGAATAAAGTGTCATAAAAGAAATCAACTAAAATTTACTATTAAACTTACAACCTAACTTGGCCCAAGAACATTAACAAATAAATAGAATAAATTAGCAGGTAAGCAATTAATATTTCTTTAATAAAACGCCAAAACTTTTCGAAATCAAAACTAACTAAAATCCTGTTTGTTACAATATATTCGATAGGTTTATTGTTGTAGGTTAAAGTGTTAAATGAGTTATGTTTATATTTACGATAGCCAGTTCCGCTAACAAATGTTTTTGTCAATGGTTTTATTATTTTGCGATATTTGTATGATCTGTTGCCTTTTGGTATGCCTGTTGATTCAAAGTTTCTTTTATGCGCATTAGTTAATTGTAAAATTTCTCTGTAGTTTTGTTCATCTTTTGTAGAATAATTTAGAGGATTCTTTTTAAAGATTAATTCATATAAACCTTTGGTCGCTTTAAAATGTTTATTTTCAATAGTAAAGTCACCATTAGCAACAAAATTTATAACACTTTTTCCAATTATCCATTTATCAGATATAGAAAATAGAAAGTCACGCCATATGTTGTATCAAAATATTTTTTGCTTTGTAAAAATTCCCTTAAATATTGTTGAAACAAATTTGGATAATTGTTGAGGTATGTATTAGTATTCTCAAAAATATTTTTATCTTCAACATCTCCATCGATAAAAGTATTATCAACAACATGTTGATCATGTTCAACATGTTTAAGTTGTTGATCATGTCTATGTTCAAAATGTTTATCATGTTGATCATGTTTATGTTCAACATGTTTATCATGTTGATCATGTTTATGTTCAACATGTTCATGTTGTTCAGAACGTTTAAGTTGTTTATTATCATGTTCATCATCGTCATCACTCTTATCTTGATCATATTGTTGATTTTTGTAGGTAACTTTTCCATATTTAGCTTCCTTTTTAATTGAACCATTTTCCCTATTATGCTGCCACACCATTTGTTGAAGAGGTTTTGTGATTGGTTGAAATAATTTTGCTAATGTATCATCTGTTTCAGCTTTCCCCAATTTAAGAGCCAAATATTTTTTTCGTATACCTTGAGATAGCTCATAATTTTTTTTTTTAATTTTAGCGTCTGCTGAGCTTTGACTTGGTGAGGTTGCCGTGGTCAACTGTGCAATATTACTGCTTAGTTTTTATTTTATATACTTATCAAACCCCATACGATATCGACCGTTATTTAAATCAAAGTCTTTAACAATAACAAAACAACCGAAATTTTCTTGCCAACATTTTGAACAAATATCTTTGAAACGATTAAAAGACATATCAGGTGAAACATGTTCGTCAAATATATGTTTTAAATTTATTTCATCCTGCTTAAATAACACAATAATGTTGCAATTATCTCTTATCAGCTGTTTAGGTATTTTCGAATAAGTTTGACACAAGTAGGCTGCATCTATGGATTTATGTCTACACATACTAAAATATTCACGAATTTTATTTTGTTTATCACAGGCAACATCATCAAAAATGAAAATTGAGTTAGATGCCTTTTTCGGTTCAATTATATCATCATTATTTGCAAAAGGAAAATATTTTATTCCTTTAACGTTTTTTAAAACAGATTCCAACAGCTGATATTTAGACTGATGAAGAGATTTAGAATATACATAAATATTTTTAAAGGCAAGACCGTTCGGATTAAATATTAAACTTAATAATGCATTTGTTTTACCACACCCACTAGGACCACAAAAAATTGCTCGAAATGATCTTGGTAACAAACTACCATGCTTTTGGTGCTGTAAACTTTGATTTACATAAAAAAAATCCAAGTTTTATATAGGTAACGACTGATGTTGCTGAATAAAGTGCATTTTGTATACTGAGGTTAATAAATAAAAGTAAATGGTATTTAAGAATTTTTTATTATTTAAATAAAATAATTAGATTTACTATAAGTTCTCGAATACAATCTAACATTTTATCAATATTTTTACATTTACAACTACATTCAGCACAATTTATAGAACAATTTTCTGAACTGGAAGATGATGTATTATTAGCAGACGTTGAGGTCTTGTTAACTTCTTCAATTAATGCGGAAACACGTACACACTTACATCGATATCTATCACATGTATCGGGGTTTTCTTCAAAAGTATCAGATGTCAAAGGACATTGACTGAAATGTATACCATTTTTGCTATTCTTTAAGGATAAATTTAGATATTTTTTCAGAAAATCCCTTTTACCACACCAATTTTCCAGTTGTTCTCTATGATGAAAATCATGTTCTATTTCCTGAGTGGTAGGGTATCTATCCAATGATTTATCTACCCAATTTATATATATTCTAAAAAGATATGAGAGCTTTTAATGTAAAACTACAGTTTTTCTTATACGAGGTTTTGCGGATTCGACGAGTTATTACCTAAAACAGCTTTAGAAATCTTGGATTTGTTAAAATCTTGTTTGACCTTTTTCCCAATAAAGGAAAACTGTTGTGCGACCTGGTCTAAAATTATTGGTGCAACGCACCTTTTAGAAAATCATACAGGTTATTGCCACCAATACCCACAAAATTTATTTATTTATTTATTTAAAAAATGAAACCTTAAAAAAATAAACTAATATAGAATTTAATTATAATACAATTTATAATGTTTTCTTACCAAATCATCATAATTTTTCTCATCCATATTAATAAATTCTCAAATTTATTAAAATCTTCTTCGTTAGAAATTGGAAACTCTACTTTTGACCTTTGTAAAATATTATTAGACCTATTGGTCTGTAAGTCACATGTTTTGTTTTGTCCAATATCACAGGCAAGTCTGGAAACCTTTTCATTTAATTCAATCAGAAGCGATTAAATGTACAATACTTGGGGATGGCACTGACATCTGTTGAAACGATTTGATGAAACAGGTGTATCAAAAAATTTTAAATCAATTACTTCACAAAACTATATTTACCAATAAAATGATTTTAAAATTGTCAGCATTATTAGCACTGTCACATAAAGTACAATATTTTATTGTGTCTACTTCTAAAAATGAACTGGAGCTAGAAGAGGGACCAGAAATGCTGTTATTTTCCTTTGCTCCCTCTTCACTCAGTTTGGACCTTCTTTTTGTGTATTTATCCAATAATTTTTTCCTTTTTAGTGAATCCATAATACTATATAGTATTATTGATCTATATAGAATATGGTATACCAAAAACTTTTTTTTTTGGCAAAAAGAGTAAATACTGTAATAAACTCATAAATATTAATTTACATATCAAAAAAGACGCTTCAGGCCAAACACACAAAACAATAACTTAAAGTGTACAACTTAAATTGCTGTAATCAGTGATCAGTGATCACTGATCACAGATTATAAAACGAAAAGAAAATTTTCGACACAGAACATTCTCGATTTTCACGAAATGTCATTCTTGGCAATAAAAGCCGCGAGCCGACAGCTGCCAAGTTGGTTACAAAACAAAACAAAATTCCCCAGGTAACAACCAATTAAAATAACTAGTATGACGTCATTGTTCGCGGTTAATTTAAAAATTACAAAGTTATTGATATTATAATAATTTGGTGTTTTTGCTAAAAATTGATTGGTTATTTTTTTAGTAAAGTGTGTTATGTGTTTTGATATAAATTTATTTTATATTTGTACCAATATCAGTTATTTGAAATGTTTCTGCAACATCTTGGGAAACATCGCAGGGATATACGATTGAAGTCCGAAACATTGGGGCATAAATAGTACATATATTGTATGTTTCTGGCATGTATTGTGTTATCCGGAAAGTGACATTAGTATGAATTAATGCTTTAAATGTGTGGTGAAAGCTCAACCAATTTTGTTATTGACCGCAAAACTCAGGTTGACTTTCTTTGAATTGGTTTTCGATGCAGTTATAGGATTTAAAAGTTTTTTAGCATGTGATTTAAGCTCATAATATTTTTCTTCTATGGCTACTCTAACTTCTGATTTTTTATTTTGTAACCTCAACTCGTGGGCTATGGCTAACGGCAGCTTTACAGTGGTGAGATGGGTCGATGGGCCAATGTTGTTCCTCAATACTTACGTGCATAATTCCAAAAGAAAACAAAAAAATAAAAATGGGCGCCAGTGTCTCATTTGGGCCAGTTGGTAAAGTCCCCATAAGCCAGACACAAACTTAATGGGCATAAGGGCAATAAAAAAAAAGTCTAGTTTAAAAATTATTAAGTATAATAAAATTTGGTTATCACCGTTGTTAAGGTGATTCCATTTGAAAATGATTATGATTATTAGAACATTTAATTATGTTATTGGTGCACCCTTATATGGCCATATATGGTTTACAAAGAACCAAATTCGATATGACTAAATTTAACATGAGCAAAATTTTACTGGTAACAAAAAAAACTTGAGTTACGATAAATAAAGGTTGAAGACCAAGTTAAAATTTTCTTAATTTAAAAATACACAAAAAACATTACTATAACTTAAAAGTGGGTACGACCTGATTAGCTTGAGCTCTGGTGGATCCTGGAGAATTAGGAATCCTACGTAGTGGTTCTCCGGTTGACTAAATAGTTGGTTTTGACGCCAAAACAGTAAAGGTAAACTCCCATAAAAACTGGTTGAAAGAATTTTCCCGATGTAAAATGGTACAGGAAGGACTTTAACATCCTTACTTAAAATCCGTACTTAAAAACCCCTTGTTCTAAGGAGTATTTTTAACCAATAACGTCACGACCGCATGGAGACTAGGTCAACAAAAAATATATTGGATTCAACAACCACCCTGAGCTCATCGTACCACACGAAAAGTGCTTTAGTCGGAAATATTACAATTAGATTGAGAGATTTCCCACGTATTATTGGAACTTTTCCATAATTTAAGCACAGACTTAACTCTCATCTAATCGCTTCAACGACCAAATCGAAAAGGACCTCGACTCAAAACTTTTTGCGTAGTAAATTTAATGCGTGGAAAAATTAATGCGTAGAAAACATGCTGGAAAAATCGCGAACCCAATCTGGTCATGTTGCCTATGTTAACAAACATTTTTCAAAAGAATTCCCACAAAGTCCACCAGAACCCTTCTGGTGACATTTCCAAAATTCAAAATAACGCAACCATTTTGAGAATTCCCTCTACTGACACTAAATTGTTGATAATGGCAAAACGCCAATAAATCGATGAAAACCGTACATACAACCCACAATCCATCACTGTGTTCCGGGTTGCCTAATATCAAATTAAAGTTTATGAAATAAAATAAAAAGAAATTTAATTACAGTTCGCCTATCTAGGCAACGACATCCCTGTGTCAGTAAGAGGAACTCAAATAAACTAATTCATTCACTTGGAAGGAGGCAACTAAACAAATATCTTTTTTAACAATAGTTAAACTTAAAATAAATCAACCAAATGGTTCACATCTAAACCGTTTTAGATGTATAAAAAAACTAATAAAATAAAATAAATGGGTAGCTGTCAAAATGACGGTTACAATCTTCGGAGACCAATTTCAGTCTGTATGAGACAAAAATCCTTTTTCGCCTCATCTAGTTCTCCAGACGGGTGCTTATATCAAAGATTTTGACAGCATTATCAGGGTTTTCGAAATATGTCTCAATTCTGGTGAAAATACCCTTAAAAACACCTCGCTTTTGTGTTAAAACCTTAATGTCAGTCATATTAAAAAAAAACAAGATAACTGGCGTACAAATAAAATATAACAATAATAAAAAGTTGCAATTTATACAGTGCTTGCAAATGCAAGTCCGACCGCACTGGAAAGGACGGCTGTTCAATACCCGCTTGAAAAGAACAAGGATAGAACGCCAAATAGAATTTGATTGGCCAGAGCCCCGGATGCGTGCGAATTGTAAGCGAGGTCAACTCTGGGCCAGAGTCTCTGGCTGCATTTAGACTAATTTAGTCTGACTAAATGATTTAGTGTTAAGCAAACTGCGTTGGAGTGGAGATGCACATTTTAATTTTCTTTTTAAATATTTTATACCCGAATCCTAAAAATAAAATGTTTTGATTTTTTTCCTTGAGAACTAGGGCAACAACAAAAATAGTATTCTTAATAAAAAAGATTTCTCAAATAAAAATAAAACTCTAAATAAAAATATAGACCAGTGCAGAAGCCTTTAAAAATGGTAAAAAGAGAAAAAAAATAACAGTAGGATGAAACCCATTGGAAAAGGAGGGGAATATAATAAAAATTAAAGGAAAAATAAATTACGGGCGATCTGAGTTCGGGAAGTGAGAGGGGGGGGTTTTAAGGGTAAAAAATGGTTTATCTCGATTTCCGGCAAAACTACAAGTCCTATGGAAAAAAGTTAAATGTCAAAGTTGTAGGTAATAAAAAGATCTACAACTTCTGTATTTACAATTTTTTCACATAACCTCAAAATTTATGTGAAAAAATCCAAAAACCAAGTTTTTGGTTTTTTATTTTTATCTTTTTCAAAAAAAAATTTTTTTCCATGAAATTTGGTGAAAACCTACCTTTTTATGTCCCAAATACACTGTAATTTATTTGATTTGAAATATTTATTATTTCGCCTTATTTTGACTTAATATCAAAAAAGCACCCTAATTTTCAATCGAAAATTCTCGCGTGAAAATATCAGCTTTTTTCAAAAAGTCGTTGTGCTTTTTGTTCGATGAACTCTCTACTTTCTGATGGTGTTCTCAGAAAATACATAAAATATTATAATGAATAACGTAATCAGAATGAAGTATCTAAATTCAATAGTATGATTTACATGTATTTTTATATTTTATGAGATTTTCTGACATAAATGTTATTAGAATTTAATAAATAAACTTTTTAACTAAAAAAAATTGCAACAATCACATTTTTTTGATGAAATTGTACATAATGATTAAAATAAATTTTCGAATTCGAGTTTTTTTCGTTATTCATTATTATATTTTTTGCATTTTCTGAGAACATTTACCATAGTAATGTATATTTTTTTACACCATCAGAAAGTAGAGATTTCAACAAACAAAAAGCACACCGACTTTTTGAAAAAAGCTGATATTTTGACGCGAGAATTTTCGATTGAAAATTAGGGTGCTTTTTTGATATTAAGTCAAAATAAGGCGAAATAATAAATATTTCAAATCAAATAAATTACAGTGTATTTGGGACATAAAAAGGTAAGTTTTCACCAAATTTCGTGGAAAAAATTTTTTTTTTGAAAAAGATAAAAATAAAAAACCAAAAACTTGGTTTTTTGAATTTTTCCCATAAATTTGGAGGTTATGTAAAAAAATTGTAATTACAAAAGTTGTAGATCCTTTTATTACCTACAACTTTGCCATTTAACTTTTTTCCATAGGACTTGTAGTTTTACCGGAAATCGAGATAAACCATTTTTTACCCTTAAAACCCCCCCTCCCACTTCCCAAAGTCAGATCGCCCGTAATTTATTTTTCCTTTTATTTTTATTATATTCTTCTCCTTTTCCAATGGGTTTCATCCTACTTTTATTTTTTTTGGTTTCAAAAATTATCGACCCTGGTCTAATAAAACTCTAAAAATAAATAAACTGAAAAATTAAATTAAATGTTCGAACAAGCAATTATTAACGATTCGTCGAATTGTTTCTCTGTTTGGTCTGGCCTCGAACATTCCCGCAAATAATCTTTGAATTTCTCGTTCAGAATTACCAGCAAAATG